ATAAAGTGAGTGAAATTGGTTTTTAGAGATGAACCTGAAACACTGAAATTCTTAACTTGAGCGGAAACATTAACGAGGAATGGTCACGAACTTACCCCCAGCCTTTCGGGATGAGACATACATCATATTGTAGAGCTCATTAAGCTGATCATACATATGCAAATATTTTTTGCTAAACACAAAGGGGACGCGAGATATGGAGGGGAAAAGGTTTTCATTGTATTGAAGTAACGTTCTGAATTTCCACCTGAATTGTAAGCGCAGAACTGAGCCCAATGTAAGCAAACTAAACCTGAATATTAATTTCAAGTTTAATTCTGCCCTCGTAACAGCGATCTAATCTAATCTTGACAATAACTACACACCAAATCCCAAGAGTTTGTATCCTTAAAGTAACGGCGCATATAACCATTGATCGTTAAACAGTGTACTTCAAAAGTTGACTTCGTTCAGAAATGAAAAGTTGAATGTTTAGTGCCGTTTTATCTAAAATATTTGAAAGATAGAAAAGTTATCATAATTCTCTCATAATAACAGAATCAGATTCTAGAAGATAGCTAGACGCTTCTACAGAATGGAATATCGACAGCAGTAATATTTGTGCATAGAGGAAGAGATTGCTGAAATTAGATGAAATTCGTACATATATTAACACTCCTCATATATATGACTGTTGAAGAATAAAGATTATGTCTATCCGCTAGCAATCCTCAGTGCCTTAGCTGTACGCTCTACCCTCACTAACTACTCGAAAATGTTAGAAACACTAAACAGCTGCCCACAATTCCGGCTGCTACACATTGCTCGCTAGTCGGCTATTTCATTAGTGCTCAGTGAGTTAGCTGAAGCTGTGAATTGGATGATTGAATTGAAGAGTTGTTGAGCAAGAAGAAATTTGCTTAGGCTGACAGTTAAACAGTTAAATTTGTGTAAGTTAGGATTACTCACACAAATGAATGAAGTGAATCAGTATTAATTGCTTGATAGGACATGCTATCAGTAAGATATGATATAGGCTGTTGTACGCATATAGGAAAGTATAAGACATACTCATATGGATGGGATGTAAATGAGATTGATGGATAAGATACTAGGATACGAACAGGCGAATACAACAACGATAGTTCGTTTTCGAATAAATGCATGGATGAATAGAGGCACGGACGGCTTGTAGAGGACGAAGAAACGAATATTGAGATGCAGAAAATGAACACTGAAAATAAAATATTTCCTGTGGTCTGCTCACTTCATTCTTCTTGATCACTTTTTTATTGTTGTGATGAAAATATAATGCTCGCAATATAAATTTTATTACAGACACATTATTAAAATATTTTTCTTGCTAGAGCTGCTGATCGCTAACGAACCCAGAAACTAGAAAGACGAACAATTTGGATCTATTGAAAGAGTGAAGTCCACAAAGACCAGGGCATTCATTTTGCTTTAGTGCATTTCTTAATTTCATTTCTTTCTTTCTTTCCATTTGCTCTGTCACCACCAACGCATCCCTAACTCCGTTTCTCATTCACTTGCGTGTATCTCAGTTTGCCCGAGGGATATTATATATCACACCTGCCAGCCTCAAGGACAGAATATTATTATTTAGTGCATCTGCTTCAGCCAGGTCATCATTCTACCACGTAAACGAATTTCCTCACTTCTCTTTCGCTGTTCATCGCGTTCTCTTTTGTTTCAGGCTCTTGGCTTCTTAATTACATACAT